TGTGAAATATTTAGGTGCAGGGACTTAATGACTAGTTTTTGGAGGCACTTTCTTTAGTGTTACATCCCTCATAACTCAAATTAGTGTTTATTACTATTCTATCCTATTGCCAAAATATTTTCATGAATTTGGATTAGAAGCAGCTTGTTCTGGCTTGTTTTGCAACTTTGTTTCAAAAAAACAAAGTGATATTTAGAAGATTTTTGTATGTCTTGGAAGCCTTAATTATCTTACTTATGTTGAAGGAGGAAATAAAAGATCAAGTTTTGTTTCATAGTTATATAAGAAAATAAGGTTTCATACTATGCTCACTTTATATTCATATAGTTAATAAAATAATGTCTTTCAGGAAATTTAAATCCATGATTCTTGTATTAGCTATTAGGTAACTAGCAATCTATAATCTACTTTAAATTCAAGAGGACACTACTTGCTGGTCAAGAACCATTTGGGCTACTACCATTTATGGTGGTGTTCGTCCTTATCTTTCCTTTTTCCTCTCCTTCTATTCCCAGATTGGTGAAAGACAGCAAGTGTTAGTAACAGAAGAATCTTTCGATTCCAAGTTTTACGTGGCACACAATCGATTCTATGAACAGGTAAGAGACACTTCTGTGTTATTAAGTTTTCTCCACAATGAAAAAGAGTTCTGAAAGCAAGTCAGTTTAAGCAAAAGAGACTGAAAAAGAAGGAGGGTTGTAGAATCTTGCTTCAGCAAGTCTATTTTATAGCCTCAAACCAGGCAGGCACACATGGGGCTTATCTTTTGTGGCTTGGTCTACAAAACAATGTCTGTAAAGGAATAAGTGTGTTTTAGTCCTCATTAATCTTTGACAGCGCCAGTCTTAGGCTTTTGCGAGTTTGGAAAAGGCAGTTATCACTGCCAGAATTCCCACAGCCTGGCAAAGTAGAGGGGAAAGTCCTGTTCAGAGACAGGAAGGATGTCTGCATGGGCGACATCAGCATGGAAGGGCAGGGATTTCCTCCTACTGTCACAGCACTAATACAGGTTTGTTGGTCGGTTGGTCGGCTTTTTTAGTTCTGTTTAGTTTTAATAATTTTTTTTAACTTCCACCTTGATAAAAATGCCAGGAGCAGAGGGAAAAGAGTCTTTTCCTTGGATTTAACTCATATTGCATGAACAAGGCTGGAGAGCAGTGTGAGGATCAAACCAACTTCACTTGGATAGAGTTTTCTCTGAGGCCAGCCCAAAGGGCTCCTTACTTACTCTCCTTCTTTCCCTCCCCCTTGTAAGCTAGCCTGCCTTGCCCCACTGGTAACCAGACTTCTATTACAGCATTTGGGATTCTACTTCCCCAGGTGGTAAAACAATTCAAAAGTGACAGAAGCAAACCGCATGCCTCCTTCAGGGGCATTGGGATATGGAGATGGGGCGTGCCCACTCAGATCGGAGACTCTCATGGGGACACAGGGATTTCATGGGTCATTCCTGGGTTGCATTAACTTTTAAGACCAAATGGGTCTTCCTCCTTTTTTGTTCCTTTCTCATCAAATGAGAAGTGAAGTTTTTTTCTATGCATCGTGGCTGGACTTTAAGCATGGGAAGGCTCTTAAGATCAGAGTAGGCAAGTCAGGTAAGGTATGATCATGGGCAGTTGACCGTACGTGTTAGAAAGCAGGGAGACAGTAGCTGAAGAGGCTGCTCCACCAGGAACAATCTCAGACCAGGCCCTGGGTCCTCACAAAATGTACGGGGAGCTTTTCATAGCCTAGACTAACCATCCCCATTCTGTACCCAGCAGTGACTATAGTTAAGAAAGGATTTCCAACCCTCCATGTTTGAGCTGAGTCTCTTCCCCGTTTCCATCTCATTAGCTGACTCCAGATAGCCGTTTTCCTATTCAGGCCAACCTTCTGCTCAGCCCTGGGGAGGAGCTTGATTGTATTTTGGTTGCCTCTTCTCTCTCCTTTCTCTTGCCATCTGGGTTTTTGCCTCAGCGGGGAACTTTTTTTCCCCCTTCATTTTAAAGGCAATGGCATGCCTCATTAGCTGTTTCCTCCAATTTAAAGCAGTCGGGCTTTTTCCAATTATTAAAACTGGAGGGGGAAAATACACTGAGCCCTTCATTCAGATCAAGGCAGCAGATCAAGGAGTTATTCTCCCCCAGAATAGTACCAAATCTCCCAGGAATAGTTTACTCTAGAGATTTTCTTGTTTTATAAAAATTGATTTAAAAAGGCTTTCATATCCTGGTACTAAGGCTCTTTTAGTTGGTTTGCTTGCCATGAGTAATTCACCACCCAGGTGACCTTTTTCCTATACTTTGATGAAAGCAGTGTACTCAGTGGTCATAAAAAATCAAACTCAGAAAGACCCAGATTTAATTTTGCCTCAGAGAAATTGGCTGTGGAACTTCTGGCTCTCCTCTGACTTTTTTTTTTTTTTGTCTCTACAACTAAGCATATCAAAGATTTCATAGAAATTATTTTTCTAATAAGATGAGTACCAGAAGTAAAGATTGTATCAAGATACCAAAGTATTGCTGGATTAGAATTAGTGTATTTATTTTGGATCCTAACTTTAAAAGGTTGGCAAGTAGCTACAGTACTAAAATAAAAGTGTGAAGGAGACATAATGCATACAAACTGCCTATAAGTCCCAAAGGAGAGGAAACATTTGCTCCAGGTAAACAAGTACTTTTATCAGAAATCTCTAGTGGAAAGACAACATCTGACAGTTTTTTGTGAACTAGCCAAAGTACCCTTCAAAGTAGCTGATTCTACATGGAGGTAAAACTAACACATGTATTTTATAACAGAGCAAAAGAAATGAATGGCAACCATTAGTTAAAGGAGTCATTTACCTCCAAACACCCATGGTTGGGATATTGAAAAGGTTGCTTTTAAATGTTCATTTTCTTCCCCCAAAAACACATGCTAGTGCACATGTGCACACACATACATACACAGAAACATGCAGGCCTTTATTTGAAGTGTCTACTCAAACCATCATTCTGACAGCTAACTTGGAAGCTATTAAAAGTATGAGGCTCTCATCAGTGTTGTCTCAGTTTTCTTCATTGCTTAGGGCAGCCAAGAGCAAAATATCAAAGTCCTTTCCAAAAGTGACTGGCTGACTGCTCGGGGATTTCCCAGTTCTGCCTTCCACATGCCTCAGGAAAGCAGGCGTCCTGCAATGAAAGAGCACTGTCTGCAGCCCGCCGCTCCTCCCAGAAGTGCCTTCCCTTCCTACTAGATCCCCAAGTCCTGGCGCAGCTGGAAGATGGAGCCTGTTTGAGATGGGATCCCAGGATAGAAAAGGGAGCTTAGTGGACAACTGAGGAATTCTGAATAAAGTATGGACTTTAGTTAATAGTAATATGTCAAAATTATCGCATTAATTGTGATGATGTATCATACAAATCTACAATGTTAATAGTAGGGAGTGCGGGGTATATAGGAACTCCTTGCTCTCTTTGCAATAATTCTGTAAATCTAAAACTGTTCTAAAATTGTTTACTTTAAAAAGAATTAAGCCTTCTGAAATTTTTTTTAAAGGTTTTAGTGCCAAAGAACCCCATATTCATGGGGAAAATGGTCGAAGTGGACATTTATGAATCAGGAAAGCATTTTATGAAAGGGCGGCCAGTTTCAGACGCCAAAGTATGCACGCCATCCATCAGCAAACCATTAGCAAAAGGAGAAGTCTCAGGTTTAACAGAGGTGAGTAAAAGATGCTTTCCTCTCCACCCTGCTAGTAAAACAGCAGCTGTGGAAGCACAGTGATTCCAGACCATGTTTCTGTTATCATTTATAGTTCCCTTTTTATGCATGCATACGGTTTTAATCCTTTCCGACAGATTGAAATCTGAATTATAAAGATGCATTTTTGCTGATGCCTTTAGCTTTTTTTTTTTTGTTTAACTCTGCCTGTAAAGGGAATAAGCCGTTTCTGCTTCTAGGCTAGAAGCAGAAGGGAAAAGCCATTATTTTCAGGTGAAAGATTTAACACTGAAGATGGTCTGATCCAGTATGTTTCTGTGTCAGTAGATCCTGAATGGAAGGGGGTGAGGAAAAGAATATTTTCTTGCTTTACAAAGCTGTTTATAATATAGTAAAAATCTACAGTTAAAACAGGCACCTTCTCTCTAGGGTGTTAGCTAAATATCTGCTTTAGTCATGAGCAGTGAAAATTAAACATTTTTTTCTTTCTATAAAAAAGTAACCTGACCCTTATTTTATACCTTGGTAAATATGGCTGTTTGCCGAGCTCTCTTACATTTCATTGAGCTACAGTTGTAAAAGCTGATGGAGTGTGAAATGAAAATGTGTATCACATTTCTAAGCATCATTTGATGTCCTTTCTCCAACACAATTGTTAAGTACTCCAAGAAAAGTATATAGCAATGACTTAACATACAGGAAAAAAAGATAAGTGGTATTTATCTGGCCATATAATTCTAAAATTGTTTCAATACGTTTTATCTTTTCCCTCAAAATAAATTGCAAGGACATGTTAATTAAACTTTGGGAGTCGTGACAAAGAGGATACTATTATCTGTATTCTCACTTAGTATGGTGATACACTGTGGTGTCCAAACATGAGTGACCTCTCTCATGAGCTTGACAAGTGCATGTGAAGAATCTGTATGCACAGCCATCTGACTGATAATGGAATGACGTAGAATAGCCTTTGTCAAAACCCTGCCAAGTGTGTCATCCGGCTAAACCAGGAGTGAACTCTAAGCTTGATAAGCATAACCATTAATGTTTGCTGTTGTTTAAAAAATAAAAGATGTTTGGGGGTTGGGATGGATGGCCAGGAAGGAACCACATAATTCCAACGTTTAAATCATATTGCTAGAAACATGGTTTTTTGATATGTTATCTAATACTTAAGAAATTTGTAAAGGAAGTTGGCTTATTTTTTTTTTTCTGCACTGTGTGTTTTACAAGCTTGATTTTAATATGCTGCAAGTAAAAAGGATCGCAACGAATGGCAATAGTGGACAAATTATTGTTTCAAAGACCCTGACTGATTTAATTCATTCATGTATACCTATGGAAAAAGATGGTATTTTAAAACATCATCATTAATAATACATAAATCAGGAAAATTAGTACCCTTTAATTAGTTTCTTACCTATAACATTACTTTCTAGGAGGGCGGCCCTATTTAAATTCCATGGGGCAGTCTTTTCTACTCTACTTTTCCTCCCTCCAGCCTATAAAATGATATTTTCGTCTGTCAGACCACCAGCCGTTCTCTGAGCTGGTATGGCCCAAAAGACCTAGGTTAGATGAGGACAATGGTCAGTTGGCTGCTGGCCCACGTTGGCCTCTAGGAATAGTCTTATAGCGTGCATGAGGCTAAAGGGTCAGGAATATTGATTTGAGTATTTGCATTATGGAAAACATCAGGCAAGTCCTTTATCACCATTCGTGACTTCATGTAAATTAATTAACACAGCTTTATGCTTCATTATTTGTCAGCTTTAAAGATATGCAAAACTCAGGATTCAAAAGCCTCTTTTAATGAATTTGTCCCGATGTCAAAATGTTTTCGCCGATGATAGGAACCAAAATAAATTAAGCAAGAACAGAACAGCTTCCATTTTTTTGTAGGATTTAGAAGTAGATGATAGAAGTTATAATCATGTCTTGGATATTCCAGGCACTTCGAACACTGATAAAGGTGCTGGCGCAATCGAATGAAAAAATTAGCTTAACCCTGTGGGTGAAGCACAGCCTTGGGTTCAGGTAGATCTGGGTTTACATCTGGACTTGCCAGTTTGCCCTAGGGATGTAACTCCTGAGCTTCAGTTTAGTCTGTTAAATGGGAATGATAATATCGATCCCAGTGGAGTTGTTGAAAGGAATACATTCAATAGTTTATGTAAACCACTTGATCCTATCCCTGGAAGGTAGTCAACAGTTACTAAGTGGGCATGGTCCCTTTTCCCCAAATTTTGTTGCATCTGGAAGAAGCAGATTCTGAAGATGACCTGGTACTAGCAGTTTGGGTTTCGTTCATTATTTTATCATGATCATGTTGCACGAGGGCAAGAGTGGGGTGAATTTCTCAGTGAGGATAACCTATTCAGTATCTGAGAACCAATCCCATCAGAATTTCTAGCTTTCTGAAATTTCCTGAGATTTTCTTGAATGATAATCTCCCCCTCCTACACACTTTGTAAAGAAATCTGGAAAGGTCAAAGCATCTAAAGCAAAATAATGTGTTTAAAAAAATTATTTTTCATAGTAAATGAATTTCCTTGAGAATTTTATGATTATTCTTTAAGAATTTGGCCCCATGCTGCTGTGGACTTATTTCGTCTCACTTTAGGCCCTGCTGGCGTCTTTTGATAAAACCGGTGAGAGGTAAACAGACTAGGGGGAAAAGCACAGGCTGGGTGAGAGTCATGAGATCTGGATTATAGAATTCTGACATTTGCATGCAGTAACAGGTTTTGTGACCTTTTGTACATCAGTTAGGTTCCCTGAACCTCAGTTGTCCCTAAGATTCTGTGATTGAAATATTGCATTTGACAAAAATGAATGGAATGCCTACCCTGTGGCAGGACTTTGAAATCTATAAATATTAATAGAAATCGGGCCTTGCATTTTCAAATAATAATAGGTAAAGGCCTATAACATGATGGCAAATGAAAGCTATAATAAAGTCAAAAGGTTACTGTCCTCTAAGAAATTATATTCTAGTGGAAACTGCATATAGTAACATCTTTTTATGATTATTACTATTCTTTTCAGTTTGGTTAGAGGAAAGGGGGATTAGAAGGGGAGAATAGGAAAGACAGACAAAATCAGTCTGATCAACTTTAGGGAAGATGTGAGCCAAAATGCCACCTCCATCCTCATAGGGAACATTTTTTAATAAGTTCCATTTAAGGATAATTTATTTCAGAAAAAGGTTGTATAATTATTATCCAATGGAAGGCATCATAGAGTTTAAAGGGATAAAATATAAACCAAGGAAAGGCTAGGTCATGAAACTTTTGTCTGTAAATTGTCAGGAGACTTTGTTTTTAGGAGGGAGAAGGGATGAGAGAAATTCCACAGGGAACACTTAAGTGTTCATGGATGATCTAGCATGATAATTCTCAAGTGTGGTCCCCAAACTTACAGCATGAGCAGTATCTGGGTACTTGTTAAAGAGACAAATTCTCAGGCCTCAACCCAGACCTGAGTCAGAAACTCTAAGAGTGAGACTCAGTAATCTGATTTTTAATAAGCTCTCCAGGTTAATGCTGGTGCATGCTGAAGTTTGAGAAGCACTCTTCTGGGAAAATGACTCTCAAGTGGAGAGGAGTGTTTGATATTTGTAAGAGCAGTTTTAATATTTTAATGTAATAATACCAGATTTTCACAGTACCAGCTTTAGAAAATAGAGTTGAACAACATCTTGGATGATAGAGGCTGTCTCTCATCTGTGAATTAATAATTTTTCAGAAGGGGGTTATGAAAACGATGGTGGGGACAGGCAAAAGTTATGTGTGGGGATAGGTGGGTGGGTGGGGGAGTAGTTTAGTGGAAGGGGCCAGAGGAATACGAACTTTGAGAAAAACACAGTTCTAACATGTTGAGAGCAGTGATATTTTTACATGCTCTGTCGTAGAACTTAAATTTGTGGTAACATACCCTGTTCAATGTGATGATCTTTTTATACAATTGAAGTTTCTTTAGAAATTCCTATGCTGTTCAGTCATTTAATCTGAAGAAAACTTATGGGTAAACAGGACCTAAAGTCACTTGTACCAAATCCATGACCATTCGATAATATGAAAAATTATCTGAAAGCAGTCATCAAAAATTTGGACCAAAGTTGTTTTATCTCTATTATGGAAATTTTCTATTAATTGAAATTTGCAGGCATATACAAAAGTAGAATAGTATAATTGCACATACTCATCACCCACCTTTAATGGCTGTCACCTCATAGCCAATCTTATGTCATCTGTGCTCTACCCCAACCCCCCTGATGATTTTCAGCAGAATTCCATTTATCATTTCATTTCATCTACATATATCAGAAAACATCTCTAAAAGATGGAGATTTTTAAAAAACGTAATCACAATACATTATCACATCTAAAAATAATTAACATTAATTCTTTATCTGACAATATTCAAATTTTGCAGTTTTTTAAACAGTATCAGGATGCAAATGAGGTCCATTCATTACAATTAGTTGGTATGTCTTGTAAATCATTTTTAATATCTCTTTTCTGTTGTTTTATTGCAGTTTATTTGTAAAAGAAACCAGGTCGTTTGTCCTGTGGCATTTCCCACAGTGTGGAATTTGCTAATTGTACCCTCTCATACAGTTTTACGGGGTTCTTTGCTGCCTGTTTGTTTTATAAGTTGGTAGTTAGATTTAGAGGCTTAATCAGATTCAGATTTGAGTTTTTGACAGGATTATTTCGTATGATGCTATGCATTTCATTATGAGGCATAGTAGTTGTGAGTGTTAGCAGTTGATAAGCATTGCCTAAGTGCATTGAGTCATTGGGGGTCACAAAATGGTGGCACTCTGATTCTGTCTTTCCTTCCTTATGTATTAGCTAAAAGTACTACTATGAAGAGAAACTTTCTCCTATCAATTTTTGTTTACCATGAGGCACAGTTCATGTGGGAAAAGTGAGAAAAGGGCTCAATACTTTCTATTTACCAGTTTTCAAATTTGAGTTGATTCTCTAGCATCT